ATGCAGAGAACGAGCGCTCAGAGCTTCAGCCACTATGATTTACTATTTCTTGAAAAACCATTTCTTTCAGGATACTTGATACTAAAACAGATGGCACTGAGCCCCTGGGATCATGGTCTAGGATTCTTGTCATTTTTAGATTGCTTTTGAAAGCATTTCTATTTGAGGTGGTCTGGTTTTTTATTCTCTTTTCTGTTGGTGTTTTATGGTTGTTTGTTTGTTTTTTTAATATTTTTTTTAATTAAAAAATGCACTGCCCATCACCACTGCCGGAAAACATTCAGCAAATACTCTCCATTCTGAGAAGATGAGAGAGAGCTAAGACCCAAATGACCTTCTGGTGATTGATAAAACATGTGTTTTATTGGAAATTCTCTGTGAAGTGTGATAAATGTTTCTTGAACATGGCCCCAAGGGCAGTTTAACATATCATTCCAGACATGCAAACAGGCAGAGCCTGAACTTGAACCTTTGAAATGTAAAACAGGATTTATTAAATTCACTCATGAATATGTGCTGTGCCCAGGTACTCCGTACAGGGTCTGTACTGGGGAAAAATTCAAAGTGCACACTCCTTGTGATCTTTATATAATGTGCCTTTTTTAAGAATAAAGGACTATGAGATGCAAATGAGAATTGCTTCTATATGCTGTTATCCTTGTCCTAAAGAAGCTGTACTATCTCTATCAAGACCTGGTTTAAAAATAAAAAATATTCTCTTGAAAAAGCTGTACAAGCCCAATAGAGGCTGAAGCGTGGCATGGATATTAATATAGAATCACTGGTGTGCAACATAAAAAAAAAAATGTTCTTTGCAAAGAAAAAAGTATTTCACTTAATTTAGAAACACAAAACAGACAAAATGAAACCAGAGGAAGTGCACAAGGCAGGATCTGAAAATGAGGGTTGGAGATGGAAAGAAGCCATCTTATCTGACTGGAAAAGAAGATACTTGTGGCACATAGAAGGTTTTCAGCTGTCCTCAGGGGCTGATCACATCAAGAAGTGGTTTATAATGTGATTTGTTTGAGAGAATTAAAGAAATGAGATTAAAACCATTCAACCTGTAAAAGGCTGTAATGTAAAAATTTTTCTCATGGAAGTAGAGCAATTCAACCACTGCCCACATCTATCTTAATTGGCAGTAAATTAATTTTCCCTAAGCCAAGTCTGTTTTGTCCAGATGGCGACTGCTAAGCAATCCCCCTGTCTTAATTTTGACCCGTGGGGCAGTGAGAAAGCAGCTGGGTGGGCAGTTGCCTGTAGCCTAAGGCCAATCCTCTGCAATAGCTGACATACTGCAGGACAGTGGTGCTGTACCATAGACCCTTCCAGGCACTTTCTAAGGGAACAAAACCCAAAGCCTAAATGCCACAACCCCTTTGTTACACTGTCTCCCAACAAGTTTTTGGCTGTGTGCTTCAGCACTTCCTAATACCTTCCATGCTGTGTTTGCTTAAGAGAATGGTGCAACTGTGATGCTTGCAGGAGAACTCATTTATTGGAGCTCATCCATGCGGAATGAGTAATTGATTAATTAAGACCTGTTTCTGGAAGTAAGTGCATCAGATGCAAGCAGGTGTGCTCAATTATTTCTGCTTAAACAGTTACTGGCACACCTAGATATTTCCCTCTGTGAATGGAAGTAGTGATTTCTCTATGCAGTTTTGTCACTGCTAAAATAAGAAAAATGGCTGTCATGGTTATAGCTGGCTTTTGCTGATGAGCTGCAAGGTACTACAGAAAAGGAAAGTAACACAAGGAGACTGCAGCTGCAACTATGCTGATATGCTTTCTTTGCAGTAACACGTATAATGCAGGCTGACTACCTGATGTGAATGCACCTAAGGGTGCATCCTGAAGTAACAGTTTTCTGATAGCCTTAAGCATTCAGAATGGCTCAGTTGTGATTAATGTCTTCCTGGTTTTATTGTTTTGTTGTTTTCTCCAACACTGTTAATACCAAAATATTCAAGGATTGGAGGAGAGGATTGCTCATACACGTTTTCATGTATAAATGTTGTTTTGGAAACAAAAGTAATGCGAACAACCTAACAAGTTAAAGCTACTGACCTGTCATGTAAAAAATAGAGAGGTCATGACTTCTCTGGGGATATTCAAGACCTGCCAGGACACTTTCCTATGCAATCTACTGTAGGGAACTTGCTTTAGCGAGGCATTGGACTCGATGGTCTCCAGAGGCCCCTTCCAACCCCTACCATTCTGTGATTCTCAGTAAACAGATGCAGCTCTGCATGTGGGAACTTCTAAAAATGGCTCTGTCTCTCACTGCTTTCTGTGAGCTTCAATATAGTCTAATAATGGAGCAATTAAGAGATTATTATGAAGTTTTTCTGGAAATAACGGTCAAATATCTTTTTAAAAAAGCCCCACGCAGTTGGCTAGCTGTTGAGTGATTTGTGTGTGTGAATTGCTGCCAACGTATTCAGAATGAATGTCAATAAATTAGATGGTGAGTCATTATCTTCAGAAGTTAATCTTGAATGGAATAAATTATGGAAAGGATTCAGAAGTGGAAAACTTGTCCCCTAGATGAGCCTATATTTTAAAACAAGGAGTTTCTACAAATGACATGAGTCATTTGTTTTGCTGTTGTCCTTGTGATGAGAACCACGAGTGCATGAAACTTCAGGGTGTGTTGCAAGGACACATCTTTTGGGCCCTTCTCCCAAAATGCACAGGAAGTCATCAAGGTCAACAGCCCCCAAAGAATATATTGCTTCCTGAAGTACGGGGTGTACGGTAGGCACCAGCAGGTTTGAGTGCAGGTAGGCTTCTTGAGTTGTGAAGTGGACCTCAGCCCCACGATGGGCTGCTGGTATACAACACATCTGCCATGTTGGAAGGAAAAGACTTCAAGCAGTGTGAGTGAGGTGGAGTGATGTCACGTTTGAGGAATAATGTTTTTAGGGGAGTCGATTATGTCTTTGAACCAACTGCATGAGCTACTTTGGGTTGCGCTTTGTTGGCTGATGGGTACAACGTTTCAACAGGGCATGGATGCTGTGGATGGAGGCTACATAGGTGAAATTCTCACCCCTTTTAAGGCAGCAGGAGCTTTGTTGTCAATGAAAGCCAGTCTGGCCTTTGCCACAAACGTTCATTTATGTCTTCTGAGGGAACTACTTCAGCTCTAGCAAATGGTGAATTTATCTGAGAGGTGGGGAAGGCTGCTGTGATCATCTGGGTTGGCTGAAGGAAGACTTCAGCTCTCTGATACATCTCTGTCCATGTTCTTTCTTTGGTTCCTGCGGCGTTTCTTCATTTTCTCTGTGTATCCATGACTCAGCAGACTTGAAGCTCCGTAGGACTCCAAGCCCAATACCAGCGGTAGTCAATTTGCTCAAAAAGCAAACTTCAGAAGAGTTTATCTCAGAGATTTATGAAAAAGGAGTTTTAAAAAAACAATACAACTACAAATACATACTTTGTGGTTTGGTCTGTCTCTTGGCTTTAAGTCTTTGTTAACATAACCCAACACATCCACATCCCCCGTATGCAGCATAGAGCTGCTCTGCTACTGGTTCACTGTAGGAGTCTCTGTTGCCTGCTTGGTGAGGTGGAACTGCTATTTTTTTCCTCAAGTTTCACATGAATTCTGTGTTGTCCTCAGACAAGCAATTAGTTACACAGTCCTTTTTCTACTCCAACTGTCACTGCCTTACTGACTCTTCAATCCTGGTCACACAATTTACTGTAGTTCTAAGGGTTTTTCACCCTCTCTTGGACCTCTGTCTGGTTCTGCCTGGCTTTCATGGCACTCCAGGGCCAAGGAAAGGTGGAGAGAGCTGAAGGGTTGGGAATGCGAGCGGCCCTTCCTGCTCTGCTCAAGCAGAACTAAACTTGTCCTCTGCACCTCATGGAAAAGCTTTTGTGGCCCTCAGAGAGGACTCTAGATTCTGATGGAATATTTTTCAGCCCCAGCTAAAAACAATTTGTGCAGAAATAATTGTTGCTTTTGTAGTTTTGCCAGCATTTTTCTTTGGTATAAAACACGATAAGCACACTTCTTCTAAAGCCTGAGTAACTCACAGATACCTTTTCAAATCTGTCCAGTCTTCGTGTTTCTTCTCCACTTACCATTTCAAAATGGAAGCTAAAGCTGATTGGCCATTTGTGGCAAAACTATTTCTGGGCAGTGGGTAAAGTTAATGAGTTTATTCAGTAAGGCACACTCAATTGAAATATTTAGTGCTGTCGGTAGATTTCTAAAAGCTGTTCTAGCTAAGCAGTGGTTTTTAAGTAAACCAAATACTTACTTTTCTTTTGCAAAAAAATAGTATTCTATCCCTGAGGGAATTGCTGAGCTTTAAATCAGTGAAGCAAGTTGTAACCCTCCCAAAAGCAAAGTTTTATTGCTGATGTTATGCTTGCCATTGTTGCTTACTTTTGAGAAGACAACCAAACGGAGATGTCACTAAGATGCTGCTGATGAGATTGTGATCTGAGGACAAAGCTAGAAATAGATATTTCACTGAGGCTCTCACAATATTTTCTAAACAATATGTCTAAACAGTATTGTTTATGCTGCCCAATATATGTGATACTGCTTTCTTTCACAGCAAGAAAACTCAGGGAAAATTGCTTCTGCAGAAATATCCTTAAGAATAAGAGGACTCTGTGTGCTTCAGAGAACACAAAGAGTAACTGGTATATTCTTTCTGCTGGAGGAATAGATCTGCTCTCAGCCAAGTGCCTGTTAATGAGAATTATTCAACAGGCAGCAAACATTTTGGATGACATAACTGAGGGAAGAGTTTGAATCTTTACTGAGAGAGAGAGATTTCGCAGGCAGTTCTTCATTTTAGGCATCCAGAATTTGTCAGGTTTGGTCTTGGTTGTTCTTTTCCTGAACTAATTCAGCTGCAGTCTAGCGTACTAATTGTTTCCATAGCCAGGTGGACTGTCCTGCTGATTCTGTTTCACTGGTTTTAACTCAGGCTGACATACTTCCATGAATGCTACTGTCATCTGGAAGGCAGCTGGGTGTTCCGGGAGCAACCAAATCTGGGAATGGACTGCTGAGATTGTCACAGTGAGGCTGCTCGCTGTTGGAACTGCTTTCTTCTACCCGGTTCCTTACGACCACCTGTCTGTAACGTGTGGAAAGGAAAAATGCACTGTTATCAGGGACTACTGTTTGGAAGACAGACAGCAGCAGTTTCATAAACAAGCACATTTAGAAAGTTTTAAAAAATGTAGAAGGTGGTTCTTCCAACACAAATACATTGAGTCCAGCATGACAGATGCTTCTGGATTTCAGTTTTCATCCACTGTGAGAATTATGTCCTTAGCTGGTGACTACCAACAGCAAAACGGTGAGCTGTGGGCCACACCTGGTGAACACTCTTACTCAAAATAAGACCTTCTGTCCAACCCAATCATGGTTGTCCTTCAGTCTAATCCAAGGCATGATTCTCCACCTGCATTTTTATAAAGAAAACTAGAAACACTGCTATGACTCGTTCTGCAGCAAGGGCAAAGGGATCTGCCATCAGCACTCCTGGGAAAGAAAGGGGACAGGGCTGATGTGTGAATGTGAGCAAGTGTACAAGAGAGACAGTCACTGACGATGGGGACAAGAGCAAGAGGGATGCATGGTATCTGGGAGAGATCCCCTGGCACTGGCATTGGGAATGACAGTCTGAGGAAAGGGTGGGGATCTGAGCATGAAACAGCATGTTGGACAAGGGCAGCAGGAAATGTTCAGTGTACATAACAAAGACCTATGATTCTGCTGGGAAAAAAATAGTTGAGAGGTGGATGGGGTGATGATAGGAGGACAGCTGAGTTCACCCTGCCTCTTCTTCTCTATTCCCTCCTCCCAGCAGCTTCCCAAAATTCACCCTTAAAAAAGAAATGACAGATAAGCCCAGGCCTAAAAGCAGCAAATTCCACTGAGTATGGCATAACACAAGATGATAGTCCCAACTATTACTCTATCCTTAGGGCTTTAAAGGTGGGAAAGGAAAATTATATTGGCAAGAAAAATGTGCCCCAAAAGTGTGAAAGAAACTTTTTGAAAAGTCTTATTAATGCACTGGTGTCACAGATTCACATGCAAAAAAAAAGGAGGGGTCTTTGACTAAAAGCCACATTTGTATCAGCGGTCAGACGAATGTAACAAAACTTACAATGCAAGATAAAATTAATGGGATGAAAAGGGAAACAATTATTTGGAATAATTTGGAGGAAGGGAAATACCAACTTGTTAACATCAAATTTATAATTAATTAATGAAAAACATCTGTGCCTGACAAAACTAACACAGCAGTAATTCTGCTTAATGGTAATGGAAAAATAAATAAAATCCCCAAGTCTCAGCAACAGGCCCACCACAGGATGGAGGCAAGCAGACTTGGGGTTTTCCTTGCTATTATGCAGGCATATTCAAGAGATCTTTCTTCTCCATTTGACAGAAACAAGACAAAAATATTCTTACCAAAACAGGATGCTTCCTTTCCAGTCCATTAAGTAGCTCAGTATCATTAGCTAGCTATCCAAATTTTTACACCAGTTGGAGAACTTGCATCCCAGAGACCTGCAGTCTGTCTGAGGAGAACTCTGGATGGCTCTTGTTAATCTTTAACCATCCTTGGAACAGTGGGGAAACATGATGAGACTGGAAAGGCTCTAATGTCCCAGTACTCCAAGTGAGTGAACTGGTAAAGCCAGGTCACTAGAAGCCAGTGTAACTGACCTCAGCTCCAGGCAAAGTCATGGAATTAAAACAAAGATAAGATAAAACTGAACAAGTATTTCAAGGGACACCAACAAAAAATATTCCAGACAGTATGGTTTTGTAGAAAGATGGGCACAGTGAAACATCTGATTTCATTTCTTCAGGAGAATACAATTTAGAGGAGCCTGCCTCCCTGCTTTCAGTTGGCAGCGCTCCCAGATCTCCTCCCACCCATCAGTTGTGGTTTATGTCCCTTGGGAGCAAAGGACTGGACTGGACATTTGGCACTCTCGGAAGAGACAGTGTGGGCTTGGATGATACAGTAGGTCTACTCGAATGCATTGGTCGAAAGTTATTTCACTCTTCTGACTTGACACTTTTAAATGTCTGCCAAATCAGATAGCAAGAGTTTTTGTCATTAAAAACAGTTTAATATTTTGAAAATAAAAATCCCCATGATTTTAGTTTCTAAGAGAAAGGGCAAGTACTAGAAGGGCCTTCAGAAAGCACTGGCGAGCATCTTAATGCCAGTGCAGCCTACTTCCCAGCAACTCAGAAGTGCGCTCTACTGCACAGCCCACCCAAGAAAGTCTGAGCAGCAGCCACTAGAGGGGGACACATTCTAACCTCACATTCAACAAACGGTATTTCAGTTTCCCCTACAGTTTTTCAGTGCATGAGATTTCTGGAAGGGCACTGATTACTGGTAGGCGATTTCTCTTCTTGTCTGTGGGGTCACATGTGCATGCAGGGAGTGGATGGTGCTAAACAAAAAAACCTGACTTAGTTTTCACTCAGAGATAAGTTTTCTCTGAGCATTATGAGTACCACTGTACCAAGTGTCACCACAGACCCAGTCATGGGACTCCAATGACGTGAAGCCTGCCAAAAGGTATGGATTAGGTTCCCAGCCATCAACCTTTAGATGACAGGAGTGAGAACAGCTTTCTGTGAAGACCATGTGATTTGAGCTCTGATGATGGAAGACTTGTTACAAGTTCTGACAGTTCATAGCTAACCATTTTAACAACCAATGAGGAGCTGCCAACATAGGTTCTGTCAATGTAGGAGGTTCTCTTAATGATGAAAGCCTGAAAGACTTGAAACCAGAGGCCTGAGAAAAACAGGGAACAGGAACAGCTACCTGAAAGCATTGCCTGCTTAGTCAGGAAAGTACCTCTCACAATGATCTTCTTACTACAGTAAGTAGTATAGTGCAGTAAGCTCCTCTTCCCAAAGACAAGGCATGGCAAAGTAGACTACGACACTTCTTACGGTCATCGGGAAGAATATGAACTAGTGCTTAGACTATCAAATCTGCTACCCTTGTGTACAGGAATAGGCACTTTTTCTTATTGTAGGATATATATATGGTTGATTTGTTGTTCACTAATGAATATTACAATCTTGAAGATTTAAAAAAAAAGACCTCAGTTGTCTACCCTCATGTGAGATCTAGGATATTGCTATCGATCCTGGACTTGTCAAATATCCAAATTAGTTCCCAAGTTCCAGGAATGAAGCAGCTGTTGCAATTATCTGGATGGAGCAGAAAACTGAAAGAGCACATGGACGTTGTACAGACTGTCCACCAAATCAGCAGTTATCTGCCTGTCCGTACAGGAAACCCTCACCTGCAAACTGAGGTGAAAGCTGGCTGCAGAACAAGGGTTTCTAAGCCAAGTCACACATGGCTGTCTGGCAAGAGGGATTCTGAAACTTTGTTACCATGTGTCCCAAAAATATTGGGCAAAAGTTGGGTGTAGTTGGGAAAAATGTCTGAACACTGAATAGTGTTTCTTATTGCAAAAAAAATTGTCAGACATCAAAAAAGGCTCATGCTGCCAAGGAGTCCAGAGTCACTTGTTTGAGACTGTGTGGACCTCCCTTTTTCTTTTTTTTTCTTTGCTATTTTTCCCCCTCCCTACATTATACTGTCAGATAAGCAAAGTCTGAAGATTTTAGATGTTCACAGCAGTCTGTCAAGCTGTCAGGAATGCACGACCTCCAGTGAAATGCATGGGAAAACGGGATCTCTCCCTGGGAGGCTTGGGAAGGCTGATTCCCTGCCTCCATTCCACTGCATGAAGTGCCAGCCTCCAATGGGAACTGTCTCCAGCCACCAAACCTTGCTTTCTCTATCATTTTGGATGGTAAGAAAGATTGTTGATGCAGATGTTAATACTGGCTCTTGATTACAACACTGTGGTAAATGCCTTGGCATGCTAATGGGTTTGAATTAATTGGTGCCATGCCTCAAACCATTTTTTCTTTCCTTCTGTAGGGCCAGCATAATGGTTACAAAAGAGACTGGGACATGGATTCCTTGCTGAAGCTCTCTTGCATGCATTAACCCTCCCCCCGTCCTGAATTCTCTCATCTGATTTGGCACCAAATACTTAGTATTGCAGAGTGAGTGTGATGCAATTAGACCACAGCTTTGAGTCCAGGGCCTCTGAGCATCTGAAGATTATGCAGTGGAATAAGTAGATCTAGTTATTTCGTGTCTTTCGGAAGACACTTTGACTTCTCTTCTGTATGGATATGCAGCTGAAAATCAGCAGACTATACTATGGCAGATGTCATAGCCTTGCCAACATAACAGACATCAGTGTACACAGTGGTGAAATAGATGCAATCACTGTTGTACAAGAGATATCATCCGTATTATACAAGGCCAAAATGTAATCTTCAGGGACCCCACAGAGATCCAGCTGACCATAAAGGCAGCTGAATTACAGCAGCAGAGGTATGCCTGACAGTCAGGTGAAGGCGGGTGAAAGCAAGGAGATATGCTCTTATGAACAGTCAGCCCTGAAAGCACAGTGTTTCACCAAGCAATTGAGCAAGCGGAAACAGAACATACTGTCCTATATGCCCCTGGGTTTGACAGGGAGAGAGATGAGCACAGAAACAGTGAAGGTAAAAGTTCTCCAGCCTTGACCAGTGACGCACATGTACATTTGTTAGGTGAATGCATCACAATGATCATGGAAAAAGAGAAAGGAGAATTCATATAGATACGAGCTGATCTTCATGCAAAGGAAAATGGAGAGATTATATGAAAAGGAGAAGAAAGGAGAAGATGGTGTAAGCTAATAAGAAGAACAGCAATTCACTGTGTTTTATTGCTGGAGTTAAATGTAATTGGAGCAGGCAGTTAGAAAACAAGTGGAACTCAATCCAAAAGAGCAAGTTTGTGAGGGTGGGGGGGAAGGAGAAGGGGGCTGACTACTCTGTTCAGTCCTAAAAATATTTTCTCAGTATGTTTCAAGCCTAGAAAAATGATGAGACACAGGATGATTTAAAACTTACGAACATCTCATCCAATACTGCTTTCCATTAATGACTCTCGGGTTTCCCACAAAACACTGCCAAATTGCCTTGCTCACAGCAGGTCTTTTAACAGCAAAATTGAACATATTGAGGATGAATATGGATATTTTTAAGGCAAGTGTTTCATTAAATAACATAATATAAAGTGATTAAAAAACAAACAACTAACACTTGTTTTAATTTTCCAAATACACTGAGCTATTCATGCATAAAGACTTCTGCCAGTTTTTTTTTCCAGGAACAGTAAATTAATGTTACCCTATAATGTTCTGTTCATTTCCATATATTTCTTGTATTATTAGCTTGCCTCTTGCTTTGTGGTTTCTTTGGGCAAGTTGCCTTTTTTATTGTCATTGTTACTTTTTGTGGGAATGCCAGGGGCCTCAGGGTGCAAATAAATGAGGCTATTAGAGCTCCTTTTTTATGCCACGATATTCCCTCTGCTTGTTTGTGACCTAATCTTGAACCTCTCCCTAATGTGCTGAGCTGAATTTTCTCTGTCCTGATCAGATTAGGTGGAACAGTGGGCAAACGCATCCTTGTTTACATAAAACATGTTTGCCAGGAAAAAAAAGAAAACAAACAACAAGAACCTAGTAGCAAACAAAGCAAGCCAAGTGTAGAAAGCTGCAAACAGAAACCTGTCCTTAGACAAAGTTCAAAATGACAAGTAGTGTTAGAACTGTGCTCCCATTCAACCAACATGTAAGTGCTGCACATCAGCAGGCACTGCATCTTCTTCAGGCACATCCACTACAGGTACCTGTGCAGCACCTGCTCTGCTCTTCACTGGACAGGGTCAATAATTGCTTAGAGGACTGCAAATGTATCTGTTACAATTAGGTATTTATTCAGCCTCTCTTTTCAGGAACAAGAGTTTCAGGTAGAAATATTCTAAAACAGATTAGTTAACCCACCTGTCTGCCACTGAAAGATACTGTCCTGTTTTGTCAAGCCCAGCTGTAAAAACAACCTGGTTAGTGTCATGCTGCTCTAGAATCTCTTTCTGTAGATCTAGATGTCTTTCTGTAGTGCCATATGTGCAGAACACTTTTTGAACCTGAAAATGCTGTTATGCTTTAGTGACCTACTCTCTAGCTGAGACCCAACTGTCTTCCTAATGGTGAATAGTTCTCTACTGAAATTTATATTTAGAAAGACGTGAGTAACAGAATCACATCTGAAAGCATTAATTACTAGGAAAATGACATGAGGTTAATTCCAGGAGACTCTGGCCCAGCAGAAAACCTAACTTTACTATGTTGTATCGTTCCTAAGCTGAGTGGTGTGGTGAATGCTACAGGGTTGTGGTTGGCAGGTGTTTCAAGTCACTTAGTGGGCATGGTGGTCATGGGTTGATGGCTGGACTAAATGATCTTAATGGTCTTTATCAACCTTAACAATTCTTTGATTTTACAACTACACCTCCAACTGATTAATACTGCCTCTGACTAAGCATATTATAGTTTTACCAAGAGCTTATTATGCTAAAGGACAGCAGTTCAGATATGGGCCACCTTTGAGAAAAAAAGGCACTGTCAGACTATCGGGATTCACCAAACAAGAAAAGAACAGAAAACAGGAGCAGATCTTCAGGCAGTTATACACATCAGTAGCCTCACAGAGTAAGTTTAAATGGTAAGAGCTTAAAAATATTTAGAGAATAAGCCACTCACATATTATAGGTGAGAAAGAAGCTTCTGCATAACAGACCATAGAATGCTAGATCATAGTAGTACAGTAATTTTGGGATGAATACAACTGCATGTTACTAAGATGTTAAGTCACTGAGTAAAAAAAGAATTAATCATGACCCATTTAACAGAAATTAATTCAGTAAATTATGTAGTACATCTTAGTTTGAGTAACATAAGCTTCCAGTCATTACATTTTAGTAAAATACTTTGGCATCTGATTGTTATGATGTGGCTCTCCAACTGGACACTAGAGTTCTACGGATGCAGATAGTTCCAAATAAGCACCTTTGAGCCTCTGTTCCTTGAGAAACGAACTGATTTCAGTTTATTGCTCTTGCTGTATGATGCACTGTACAATTTCTTTCTCTATTTCTTTAAACCTCCTTTTAAAGAGTCCATTCTAACACAAGTACAACATTTTTTGAATGGTCTAAGCAATGCCACACATACTATTACCTTTGTGATCTCACTAGTAAGTTTCTTTTAACTTGATCGAGCCTTGCAGAACTGCTTTGGGGGGCTCATGTTCACCTACTTTATCACCATGATTTCTGATTCCTCCTTAGCTGTGGTTTAATGAGGTACTCACTCACTCTGCATGTACAGACACTCTTACTTTAATAAGATACAGCCTTGATAGCTGACATAAGAAAAATATATGTTTTTTTTTGCAAACACAATGTGCAGAACAGACTGCTCTGCCTACCCTTGTGCTTCATTATTCCCCAATGTTTTTGGCATTGGCAAATCACAATAGTTATTAATTAATATTTTGGCCCAGGTGATTAATAGAAACAGTGAACAGCAGTTGGTTGAGGGACACTCAAACCACGTAAGTAAGCAGCATCATCTCAGTGTGCAATTGCAAATGCTGAATGTAACTTCTGGATCATCTGAAGCAGTGAATAAATGTTTCATGCAGATTATTTTATCACACTTAGCTCTTTTACCTCTCATTCTACTTACTTAACTGGATTTGATCCAGAGCGGGACATGTAGAGCAAAATAAGGAAAAGAAACATCACAAAGGCAGCAAGTCCAACCCAAAAGGCTATGACAATAGAATCTGTGAACACAACACAATAATTCTGTCACTGGCGACATGGCAAATACAAACAAAACAACAACACAGTTTATGATTGGTAAGAAAGGTATGCCATTGAATTAATTGAATTTAACTAAACCCTTGAAAGAGGGGAATCTGCATGCAAATTTGTTAAAAATCTTAATTAATGAAAGGGGGAAAAAAAAAAAAAAAAAGAAAGATGATCTCATTCCTGATCTGAGTGACCACAGAGCTTCAAGAGCGGAAACCGAGCTCAGGAATTGTTTGGAGGAAAAAGGGAGCTTGTTTTCTATGATGTAAGGTTACAGTGCTGCTGAAATGAGTGCCTCATTTCTGAGCTTGCTGTTAGATGGGATGAATCCACTTCTGCCCCAGCAGCACATTTGGTCACTGTGTCCTAAATATTCCTTCCTGGGATCAGTGCAGTAGTGAACTTCCAGCTAAAGCCTTGAAAATGTTGGGTGTTGGGCAGGGCACAAGTCGAGAAATGCTCTGAACTCATCACTGGTTTCTCACTTAGACTAAGGTGAAAAAGAAGGGTCATTGACTCCAGAGACAAATATTGACCAGGATAAAATAAATCTTCTATCTCAAAGGACAAAAAACATTCATGTTCTTTGAAACAGGCCCAATATATTTGATGAGGTGCTTCTTTGTGAAAAAGTTCAGAACGTGTTGTCATCAGAGTCACAAAGAGATTACGGGGAATTACTCCAGGTCCTTTATGCTTTCAGCTAGAGCTGACCCAGCAGGAGTCTTACCAGAGAGCTGAGCTTTGGCTGGGCTACTGAGAAATGAGAATGTACAAAATGACTACTGGGGCATCAGTTTATTTTATTCTTCCTCTGGTTAAATAAATAAATAAATAAATAAATAAATAAATAAACCCCAAACAAACCTTTTACTGAGCTTTAACTCAAGGGATGGTAAATGAAAATGGATGGGCCAGTATTCCGGCCTACCCTCACAGAAGTTATTATACAAGACAATGACTGGGTGCTACTGCCAGTCTCAACTTCTCAGGGGAGAACTGGAGATATGATGAAAAACTTGATGTTTAAGTGCTTAAAGCCACATGGAGAGAAATGAAGAGCACAGATTTACAAAACTCCCTATCAAAGCTATTTTAGTTTCATCTTTAAGAGCCGCTGATACAATTCATGGAATTCACTGAAGCTTATCAAATTTGTTCCAGATCTCACAGGAACTCACGAGGGATAAACAGAAACTTCCTGACTGTTTTTACGGTCTTGCAATTAGGATTCTTCCTGAACTGGGACAACATATTTTAACAACCCATAGAAATCTCTTTTATTGCTAACTTTTATAGTCACCTTCTATACGTATGTGTGTATGTTTTTGAACAGCGTGTTCGTTTGCGGGCCAATTAAGCCCTGTATTATTTTCATACAAAATGGGTAGACGTGCATGATGCTGTTAATAGAAAGCAAGAACATGACGTCATAGCTGGATTTAGATCCATTTTCATGAGACAAGCAAGTTCTCACCATGCTTCGGGAACAGGCCACATGACAGAGGAGAAAGTGCAGAGATTCAAGTCTGTTTTATATTAAATAAAAAAATAAGGCAAGACTGAATTAGGGAGCTATAATCCCATCCCAGGGGTTATGACGAATGTATAGTTCATTAGGGCTGATTCAGCAAGGCACCTGAACAAATGCTCAAGTCCCATTGCAGTCAATCAGCAGAAGTCCCCTGGAACCTCTGAATATAGCCCTTATTTTAATTCTGGAGATATCATGTATTTTGCCAATTTTGGAATATTTACAGCTCTACAAGCCCCTGTCTAAGGGGAAATTATCACATTTCATCTTCTGCACAAAGGGCAAGAACTTGCTGAATCTGATTTGTTTACATAGTTCCAAGCACATGAAGACAATAATCCCAGCAGTTGCTTTTGAAGGTAAAAGAATGTAAATATTGTGTAAAGACAGGAAAACCTATAAAGTATATTCATTGCCTTACCAGTCCTTTTATTCAAAGCAAGGAAAAAACTAAGCAGCTGTGGAATTATTTCCCTTGCTATTTTCTTTATAGCTTGTTTTCCCACTGGCATTTGGAGAAGGAAGAATAAAAGTTCTAGTATGACGCAGCGTCCATTCCTTCTAGGCTGCTGACATGGAAAAACATCTATTTTTATAGGAAACCCAAAAAACCCCCAATGACTGGACAATTTAACTTTCCTGCCCATCAGGAAACCAAACCCAACATTTGTAATTTGGAAATTGATACAGCCAATATGGGCTTTTTAAAGACACAAATCATGGAGCAGAATCCTATTTTGGCACACTGCCTAGAGATCTGTTACATAAACAGCTGCCCCAGGGAACACACACTGCCTTAACACTGCCCTGCAGATAGGGAAAATAGTAAATCTCACACCGTACTCTTGCATCTTTCTTTTTCCTCTTTGCCTGGAAGATGGGCAGCTGACATACAGAAGACTGGTTTCCTGCAGATTTGTTTCCCAAAGCTGAGGCTAAGGGGGTTTTCTTGGTGCCTAACAAGGCAGGATCTCTTCCTAAAGCTTTTTTGTCAGTAAATTTCTTCACTCATCATATTATTCCTCCATTATTTAACAGGAATTTGCTACAGGAATTTGCGGGTATTTTATATCGTTGAAGCCTCCACTCCTTTATTATTTGATCAGTGAGTTGAAGTTACCAAAGGCACAGAAGATCTGATGCACATACAAAAAGTATGATCACTTAAGTCACCTCCTTAGAATATAGAGAGACCTGAAAGGTGTTAGACTTCTCTGCTTCTTTAGGGTAAGAGAAGAAATAGGGAGAAAAAAAAAAATCACTAAGAGATTGGTTGACTCTGTTGTGTGTAGTTTTGTTTGTTTTAAACTGAAATAAGGCTTGAGATCACTTATGAGCACTCAAACAAGGTATGTGGCAATGCTCCCCATGAAACTGTTAGTGAATTTCAGAGTGGAATTTCAACATCTTCTCACAGAAGCATGTAAGGGGTTTTCCCTGGTAGAATTTGCTGGAGATTATTTGCTTTAACTTTCAAATTAAGAGATTTAATAAGTGGTGTAAAGCTGTTCACAACCTGCCTGTTCCCAGCAGCACAAAATATTGCTCTGCAGTATTTTGGAGTGAGATTTTATATACGGAAGGATATATATGATATTTACAACATCTTCTTTTAGGTGTGTTGCTCTTGGTTACCCAAAGTTGGAGGCAGTAAACCTACGCTCATTAGAGTTGGCAGAAAAGCTCTTCTAGAGGCTGTGCAGAAAAAAAACTCTGCTCTCTTGTCTTATTCTTGCTCTTACAAGAACACGAAGCTCCTTGCACAGTGACCTGAATTAGGTGTCTGAGGAGGGTGGTCTGAATGTTCCTTGCTCTCAAAATATTTTGAGAGTATATCATATTTTTCCTACAGACCAGATCACTGTAATTATGTTGGAGAAAGCTATTTTAGTTCCTGAAAACATACCTGCATAGCTGCAGTTGTCTTCAGTAAACCAGAGACTAATAAAGCCATGGCTGCCCATAGCTGAGGCAGTTCAAACATGCCTGTCTCTTCTCCCTTGATCTTCATCCATCCTTCCAGCTGTATCAGGCTAAGTTAATCCCTCATAACATAACTGTGATTTTACTGTAGTAAAACCAAACTAGTGCAGTTGCATTAGGAAAAAAAAAAGTCTTAACTACTTAAGTAACCATAGAAGTACATCTCTGTGTCATTGTGCAAAACCAAGTGTGAAAGGGAATTAACTACCCATGGCTGAATTTGGATAATGCTGTTTCACATTACAGACTTTGCAAATAATTTCTAAACTCAGCAGACTCGGCTTCCATGGCAATAAAGTATTGTGCTGATAATGTATATTACTACTTCATCTTACAATTCAGTAGCAATAAACCACAAGAGGAAAAATCACAGAATGTATTTTCAGCTTATTGTACTTGGCTAGCAGAATCAAACCTCTTCCTTTACCATGGTTTTACATATTTATCAGTTGTAACATAAGCTATGTCCCAAACTGAAAACATGATAGTCTTACAACAGAACTTCACTCATTCACACAACTTTTCTGAGAGCAGCAGGCAAATAGCTAACCCTCCTACAAGACAACAAGCCTACAGATCTGCATGTTATTAGGTTTACACTCAGCAATGGCAAAAAGCCTGTCGCTCTAAGAAAAAGTTAGTATCAGCAGTTCTACAGCTTCAAATATTTTAAGATAAATCAAAGAGTTTCATTATTAGCAATAACTGCTATTAGAACATAGTCAAGGAAAGACAGTTTGGCACACAGACACCCATCCATACAAACCCTGCACGCTTAACCCATTATGGTCTCCGTCACGAAGAAAGAAAGATAAGTCAGTAACACAAGCTACGCAACATTTTGCCCGCTCATTTTTCCTGTATTAGATAAACACCTACTACACTACTATACTTACATTTATTAACTTTCAACTTCCTTCCATCTACTGGAATTGGATCTATGTAATCCCAGTAATATTCATAAGACCAGAAGTACTCAGATGAGTTTGTTCTGTTGGCCATGTCAGTAGTGCATTTTAAATCAGCTTCAACCAAATACTTTTTTTCATTGTACTTGAGCGCCCTCAGAAAGAGACTGTGTAACTGATGCCTGTGTAAATCACTCTGGAGTCCTGTAGCTCAAGGACTGCCTTGGTACTAAAATGGGTTGAGCAAAAATGAATATTAATGTCTGACAGATAAGTAGTAGCAGCCTTTAAACGTAACCCTTGCTTCCTGGTGGGCAGTTACATTATTCCACAGCATATCAGAACTGAGATGGATGCCAAGTAAGCTAAGAAAGGGATGGACAGATGCCAGATGTGTCACAAACCCTTCTCTCTGAGAGTCCAGCTGCAATGAAGTGT